ACGTAATCGTGACTAGTCGGCTAATCGTGGCAGCCCTATTTTACATTAGCAATAAACTGAACTGTTTTTTGTTTGTTATTTTATATCCAAACTAGAAACTAGAAGCACAGAAAAGCCAGCCAACCTGACAAATCAAACTAAAGCACAATGGAGACAGTAAAGAAACCCTGACACACAGTCTAGAGATCTGCTCATGCAGAAAAATTGCTGTTTCTACCGCTCCACCAGCCCTTCAATCAACCTGTAAGGCTCCTGGGTATATTTTTTCATCACTGCCCAGTTTCTACATTCGAGCTCATCGCTTAAGCCAAAACACAAAGTCTTACGATATTCTGCTGTTGTACAAATATCCTGCGTCTGTGTATTCTCTGAAATACAGTAATACATGGATGAATTGATGTTTGTATTGTACTGATTTACTGTAGTGCGGTAAAGTAAATATTTACTGTAAGCCAGTTGCACAGCTGTTGTGTTACCCAGAGGTTTCCCTGCTGCTCCGGTCCAAAACAAGGCCAGCTGTAATAGAAACAACATTGTTCATCCCCGTAGAAAAAGATTTCCAGGGGAAAAAAGGCATCGTATTTTTATGTCACTGAAGTGCTCTGGCATTGCCTTGAAAAGCTGTGGAGTAAGTCATGGGATTTTACATGAGGGCTGTGCGCCGCAGGAACCCTGGGAAGCATTGCGTCAACCTCTTGTTCTATCCAGATGCTGAGTGTAGAGCTTTCTTTTTAAATGAGGAGCAAGGGGCCAGAAGTGGGTGGATGGATGGGCGGGTGAGGGAAAGGCAGAATGAAGCCAAAAGGAGATGTAATGGTGAAACACAGTCCCCCTGTCAGATACTGTGAGAAACAATAAAAACGTTCCCTTCAGCAACAAAATGTGCTTTAGCCTGACATGAGACAAGCCACTCCTTGTGCATAATTACAGGCCGAACCCAAACTCTGTAGTCAGGGATGTCGTACTCACTTCTGCTGAGGTTTTTTTTTGATTGCTTGCCAATAATCCATTATTGCATTCTTATTATTTACAAGTGTGTGTAAATGCTGGTTTGGTTTGTGGGACTGTTCTTATCCGTAATTGCTAGCAAATTAAACATGTGTGCCCGAGCATTCTCGAAGGTTTATGATGTGTGGGTAACCATATATATGTCATATACAATGTGATTGTGTGTGGTAACATTTTCCATATAAGGGGAAGAGTGGATAGGGGAATGCTCCAATGTATACATCAGAAAGCATCACATAAAATGTCTCTCCTCTCCTCAGGAAACAGATTCTGGCTTTTCAGAGAGGCTAACCTGGAACCAGGCTACCCACTTGAGCTAGTCGATTATGGTATAGATATTCCCTACGACCGAATAGACACAGCCATCTGGTGGGAGCCATCCGGCTACACTTACTTCTTTCAAGGAGACAGGTAATATAGTCCTATACTGTGTCTGAGTGACACTGAACTGTGAGTATATTGCATTAAAAGGATATCAGTAGTTTGGTTGCTTTTGGCAAGTTTTTGCAGGGTCACTTAACAAATCAAATGTTTAATCTAAGGAGTGTTAAACACAATAGGGTCATGTTTATCACTGTGTAGCATCTCCTTTGTTTAACAGCAGTCCACAAATGGGGTCCACTGATGTGGGAACTGATGTTTACAGACTCAGAGACCACTTGCTGAAATTTTCAGAGAGGAATATCGTCCCACTCTTGTGTGACGTGGGATATGATCTGCTCAACAGTCCCGGGCCTTCTGTGTCGTACTGTTCGTTTCATGATGTGCCAAACATTTTTAGCTGGTGACTGCAGGCAGCCCAGTTCAACACCCAGACACTTCTACTACAAAACCTCCCTTTGTAAGAGATGCCGTTTAACATTGTCTTCTTGAAATATATAATTTCTTCCCTTAAAAAACAAAAAAAGGCATCTGGTGGGAATATTTGTTTCTGT